GCATATAACATATAAATAATGTAGGCATGTATACGTGTATATATGGTTTACAACATTTAGATTAGTACATGAAATTAGTTTTGATAACACACTTATTATGAATTTGCTACGTCGAGACATATTAACGAATTGCTTCCAACTCCTGAATTGTTATTTAAGAAGTTTTAAAATAACTGGCAGGTTTGAATTGTACATAGAATTACGGTCGCCTTCTGGCTTCGCTCTAGCGGGAATTTCCCTTTAGCTCGGTCGGTAGAGCGGCGGACTGGGAAGTTGGGGGTCGAGGGTTCGACTCCCGATCGAAGCACACATCTCTCTTTCCTGTTAGCACACAGTTATTCTCTTCCTCTTACAAATAGAGAGTGTACATGGCCCTTCCTATGGTGACAGGGAGTTAGAACCTGAGTCGTTGTGGTGTTCGGGGCGAATGCATCTAAAAAGGGGGAGTAGCTTATATTATATAGTGTTGCAGGTACTGCGAAAATCTGCGGCAATATACCAGAGGTGGTATGCAGATAATTCGAAGGTGAAGAGGGTTTTAAGGTTGTATATAGGATTATAGTCGCCTTCTCGCTTCGCGCTAGACGGAATTTCTCTTGAATAGATAGCTGATGGGCATGCAGGGAAGCCGATAGAGGGTCGCTGGTTCGATCCCCGATGGAGCACACTGGATTATCTTTCCTGATACATTATTTATAAAAAGGGATATATTATAAAAGTAATCGAGTAAGATATGTCCTTGTTGAGATTCAAGAACGTTTTTGAAATAACAATCAAAATTATGAACTTATTAATTTTGTTTTGATAATAAATTTACTGATAAATAACATCATATTGATATAATTTCATCGATGCTATAATTTGTAAATATTAATTATAAACACAAATAAAGAATAAAAGATTTGGAAGTAATTAAGAAGTTCAAACATATACAATTGAATGGATGATATGTGTACAGTTTTAACATATGGAGAAATAACGGTCACTTTGCTAATTTGCATAATCCGCCATCTTGGATAAAATTTGGCCCATTGGGATAACACTAAGGGCTATAAGTTTTTGCGTTTATTGGCTGGAAAGTAATCCGGATAATATATGCCGGGATGTCAAATTTCCCTCAACATCGTCTAAATATGAGTTAAAAGTTAATTACCGCGATCCATTAAAAACTTGAGGTTCCTGGAGTTGATGAACTTTCGAAGCGAGGGCGCCTATAATTATGATCTATGCAATCGAATACTGGAAAACGACCAAATAGACATTTTCTACACTTTCGATCGAATTTTTCGATGCTGTCTCCATGACCTAGATATGTTGCCGAAATTCGCTCGATAACTTTCGGTTTAGAAAACCACAGTTCATGAGTTGTTTTAAGAATATTTGCAATATCTTGAGGTTCCTGGAACATTTGAAAAGTGGATTTTCTTAAATTTGACATAAAATCAAAGGGGCATCATACAGACAATATTTTGTAAAAACATCGTATTCTTATGAAAGTGAAAGGAGTCTCCATGTTTTGGTGACACTCCTTGACTTGAAAGAGGCACCAAAACGATTTATTTTAAAATATTTACTTATTCAATCCTTTCAGATAAACTGAAATCGATATATATTACTGTGGATAGAATTACAAGAATGCTATTGTACACGAATGGCCACGTGATTCGAAAAATATAACTTACAACTTCTTACTGATCTGTTGATTTTCGTATTATTTTGTCACTGCCATGCATATATTAAATAAATATACTGTTTAAACTAACTGATCTAACATGTTATAAGTAAATTATATAATATTTATTTTTAGTAAAAACATGTTCAGAACATGCCGTGACATGAAGTTTGTCCCTATTTCAGAAAAAGTTGTTAAATAGGACTTGCGCAATGCTATGGACACCGACATACCGTCAAAGGTTGCACGTACACGAAACAAACTACCATGGATGAAATCTAAAGAACGGAAAATGATTAGGAAAAAAGAAAAGCTTTACCAACAGGACAAAAGAACTAATAATTGGAAGAACTATAGACACCATCAAAGGGAATGCAAAAGAAACCACAGGAGAGCAGAATGGGAGTACATCAACACCAACATTCTAAAAGGTCTCGAAAATAACAACAACAAACCGTTTTGGAAATACATCAAACCAAAAAAACAAAACTCAATGGGAGTAGCCTCCCTTAAAAGCAAAGGTAAGTTCTCATTTGTGACAGTCAATCAAAGGTGGATATATTAGTCCAACAATTTAAATCGGTATGCACCATCGACAAAGACAGTAACATCCCAGAAACAACAAAACGCATACAGGAAACAATTCCGAAACTATACTTAGATACAAACGATGTTGCAAAACTACTCAGGAACTTAAACATATCAAAAGCTTCAGGACCAGATGGAACACCAAACAGAATCCTCAAAGAATGCGCACCAGAAATATCATTAAGACTCACAAAAATATTTCAAAAATCACTTGACTCGGGAGAAGTTCCAGAAGACTGGAGAAATGCCAACACCTCATGCATATTTAAAAGGGAGACAAACACTCTGCGGAAAACTATCGCCCAGTGTCACTAACATCAGTCCTCTGCAAACTTCTGGAACACATCATCTGTCGACACATGCTAAAACATGTTGAAAAACATAAAGTACTCGCCAATCTAAATCACGGCTTCAGATCTGGTTATTCCTGTGAGACACAATTACTCTTGACTATAAATGATTTCTTAAAAGCGCACGACAATGGGAACCAGTTGGATGTAGCAGTACTAGACTTCTCCAAAGCATTTGACACCGTACCACACATGAAACTCTTGCATAAAGTCGCGCAGTACGGCGTGCGAGGGCAAGTGCACAACTGGCTGACGTCATTCATAACACCGAGGAAAATGAAGGTTGTACTTTAAGGCACAGCGTCACAGAAGGAACACTTCGCCTCCGGAGTGCCTCAAGGGACGGTACTAGGACCATTCCTTTTCCTCTGCCACATAAATGATCTGCCAGACTCAGTCATATCACAAGTACACATTTTCGCCGACGACTGCCTTTTGTATCGACAAATCAGAACATTCAATGACCATAACATCCTCCAAAATGACCTACAAAACCTTGAAGAATGGGCAGATAAATGGGGCATGAATTTTAATGCCAAAAAATGCTACATCATGTCGATTAGGAAAAAGTCATCAAAAGAGGTACAAAACAATCCACACCTAGGACTCCAGATATCAAACGACCTCAAATGGAGTACTCATATAAGCAACATCGCGAGGAAAGCGAGCTCAACTTTACTAAGGCTTTTTGAGAAGAAATTTAAAACACTACCCAAAAGAGTGTAAGAAAACAGCATATATATCACTTGTTAGATCAATTCAGGACTATGGCAGTATTATTTGGGACCCTCATCTAAAATCAGAAAAACTGGAGAGAATACAAAGAAGAGCAGCTCGCCTAATTACTGGAAATGACAAAAGTCGGGGTGAAGGATGTGTCACAGAAATGCTACAACACCTAAAACTACCAACCTTTCAAAACAGAAGGAAATCACAGCGACTAGTATTCATGTACAAAGTAGTTGACGGGTTAATACCAGCCCTACCCCCAGATCAGATATAATCCAACACTCTGGAAGGACGCGAAAAACAAACACAAAGCGTAATGAGAACTATGAAACACCAGCAACATTAAACAGGAACATTGTCAACAACTCAAGGCAATTACTCATCCCAGGATACAAACAGGAAGCATACAAGAACTCCTTCTTCATCAAAACATCTCTTGAGTGGAACCAACTGGATGATAAAGTAGTGTGCGCAGCCTTTCAAAGAACACCCAAGATAAGTAACATATTCTCTCTCTCGTCGTGTCATGCCATTATTAGTAACTACGACGTATACAATGTAAATGTAAATAAATGTGTAGACAATCTTTTATACAAAGTTGGTATCACATATGAACGTACGTGCTTGATCACCTCATACATTTTATACGTCAAAAAGGAGCAAAAACGGATTTTCAAGACGAAAAAGTAAAGCATAATGTAGTTGAAGCTAATCGATGTTGCTGTTATATTTTTTAATTGATAAGTCAATCCGTCTGCCTTATTGTTGAATGGAATATGTAAATGTATCAGTCGTTCCAATTAACTAACTATATTATGTAAAATTCAACATTTGAAAAAGAGCTGGTATTCCAGCCTAGCCTCCGAAATAATCATCTGCGGCATATAAATTTAATCCTTCTCTCCGGGACAGTCTGGTTCACGTCTTGCACCCATCATCTGTTACATATACACATACATAGTTCTCAGTATAATTAAGTAACATCCGCCAGCCCGTGATTGTTCTGTCCTTATTGTTATCACGTGTACTAACTGTACTACTGCAATAGGCTACTTAATACATTTTTAAAAGCAACTATATGCTTCAAGTATCCGAAATTTAGAAAAAAAAAAAATTGTGTCACAAGCACATAAATATTAGATTATAGATATTTATTTGAAGATATTTTATCAAGAAATAAATCACATATGCCGCCTATCTTTTTAGACGCGACCTGAAATTGCCATTATGAATTGTTCATTGAATGCCGCCTTACTTTTCGGTAGAACCACGGAAGAACCCGTGATAGAACAGAAAAAAATGACTTTGATTACTAGGAAAGACTGTGTTATAAATATACAGTTAAGCTATATATTAATCAATCAGTAACTAAGGTGTACAGTCTAATAAAGTCACGGTAGAATGCATTGACTGGACTAGATTAACCCCAACATGACGTAAGAGGCAAGAAATAAGTCAATGTAGGAGTTATGTCCCCTACTCCATGCGGAAGCTTATTATTAGCGCTTTAAGTTTAGCCAAAGTAACGCATATCTTTGATGAAGTTGCATGGTAATACATTGATATAACCACCAGTAAGATAAAACTCTTCCGATAGTGGTCAATCTTTAAGAGGAACTGAAAAGATATGATGAAGCATGTACAAATATTTCCGTCCTACTTTACTGCGCATGTACGGAAGTGGATTTGATAAATCTTGGGTAGGATGGAGTGGTGAATATGTGACAGGACAATAAAGACCGTATCATTTGAAGATTTATGTTTAGAGAAAGTATAAACTTGGGCTAATGGCTAACACAGCCCAATTAGACTCGGGTATACTTCGTAGAAATCCACAGGATGATTTTGAATTGATACAACGAGTGGGGAGTGGAACGTACGGGGATGTTTACAAGGTGAGGATGAAATCGAAAAACATGCATGGCAAGGAATCGTTCCACTGCATAGGTTGTATTTACGGAATGGTTTCCGTTTAGAATAATAATATATTAGTGTGTAATAGAGACTAAGTTTTCTAACGAAGACGAATCACTTGGTCTTGAGCAATGTTGTAGTTTTGAGAAATCAATAGTACAGTAATCGGTAGCTGTATACAGGAGCACTCAGTTGCCTTATCTATTGAGTCATCGCCACTGCTTCCATATGAATGGTTTGTAACAATCCCATCCTTCGTACATCCCCAAAAAGTGTACATTTTACTGTTCTTGAAAACACATGTGTCCTGGTGTTGATAGAGTGCCTTGTTCATTGGCACTACGTGTACAGCACAAATTAAGTATAAAGAAAAGATCAACCAAAACATTTATCATACCAACAAGTCCAAATTTCTGGCCTCTTTTTACAATTAATACCATAGACACCACATGTTTTGTTAAAATATATGTACCTTTACTGATCGTTTGGGAACAAATCAACAAGTGTGAACTTTATATACTTACATGTGTTAAAATATACTGTACACACATGTGTTCATATAGAGTTAGAACTATTAGTCAATTATATAATGTGTGAGTAACATATAATCTATACCGGCACAATGTTAACTCATCTATGTGTAAATAATGGACTTCTCATCAATTTATGCTCAACTGGATGAACATAGTCAAATAACTAAATTAAAATGGAATCAAGGCATGATCTCTAAAAGCTAAAAAGCTTACAACGATGTAGATTACAGCGTAAGATACAATGAAAGTTTGCAAGATCTAGCATAGTTGTTCAATGCAAAGGACAAATAATTTTCCTGTTTTATCAGTTGAACTGGAATTTACATTGTGGTTATCTGACTTATAGTGGTAAGACATACAACCCACCTTTTTTGGTTTAAAGTAACACAGCCATCATTCTGATCTGGCCTCATTAATCATGAAGTAATATATACCACAGATATCATCTGTCAATACACACATAATATATATGTACATACTGTACAAGGTTACTAACCCCATTGCCCTATTAAAATGACCCGGTTTCAGAAAGTATGTTATTGTTTCATAACTGTATAATATCATGCCGGGAGCGGTTTGGATTGAGAGGAAAATATGTTTTCTTCAATTTGATGTATCATTTCTAAGTACTAACTAACATGTAATTAGACATGTAGACTTCATGAAACATCAGATTTCAGTTGGTTAGACATGTACACTACTGTTGTGTTGTCTCGGGGATAACACAATTTGGTATTTTTCTATCAATGGCCTCTGATCATGACTTATTTGCAGATCATATATCTGATGACTGGCCATGGTTTGTAAGAATATAGTTGAGAGCATAATGCGACTTTCTAAAATGTCAAAATATCATCTGCACATATCATATGATATGCATATATAGCAGCCTCAGAATTAGAATGTCTTTTATCAAGAGATTGTCTACAATAAAAAAAAAAATCCCAATATTAATTCTACAATTTAAAACGTGTTATGGGAACATGAAATTTAAAGAAATTTGAAGCATCATTCTTAGTATGAAAGGTGTTGTATATAGATGTAAATACTAAAGGTTATGGTACGCATGACGAGTCTTCACAAACAATAATACTGGTCCCATTTCAAGTTAAATTCAAAAATTGTGCCAAAAGTATTTATGAATTTAGAATTCTATTACAGACAGCTTACTCCCCTTAATGACAATTGGGCCTATGCTGTGGCTTGGTGGTGTCCATCTGGCATGAACTTTTATAGTTTAAGAATTTCTCCTGGATAACCAGTTAATAATGGACCCTATAGCTATATAGTCATGTTGGTCAGCAGCACACTGGCATAAAGGCCTAGGACTCATCATTTTCGTCAGCAGAATACTAGCATATATGAATGGCTATCAAGTCTGTTAAAAAAGAATTTTCTCAACTCTCTTCCATGGTGATGGGATCAATTTACATCACTGTGCAAAAAGATTAAACAGAAATTCTGATGAATAAATCATAACCAATTGTTAGTGGCCTACAAACCTTTTGCTTGCAATTGGTCAGAAGCTATATAGTAAAGCTTGCTGGCATGGATCATAGTACCCCAAAGTTTGTATAAAAAATGACCTTGACGTACTATCAAAGTCAAAAGGGTAAACTTAAGTTTGTTCAAACGGTTGAAACAACTTCTGAAGAATCAAAAGCCTACAGTATATATATATATAGTACTAGTCATGACCTTTTGCCAGAAACTTGCCGACATTTATGCAAATAAACTACACAAGCAGAAGTGATTTGGACTTTTATATACATAGTCACTGCGGTTAAATATATGTTAAAATGTATAACAGAGATGTTCTTAATATCCATACGGCTTGGTTGTGTTCTCAAATTATTTTATTTTATACCTGTAGTATTTTAATAAAGGTTTATTAATTGTGTAGGGATAAATGGCCATGAACTACATCCTTGGTCACTGTAATAACTTCAAAGTCCTTTCTTAGGATCATGCTCGGTGGCTTGTTTATTCATAGTGATGGCTGCTTAATTACAACATGTGCGCGATTCTATAATACCCTAGCAGAGGAAGGGAGGTAACTCACTATACACTATACTTCAAGGTTGTGCTACACTATCGTTTACCATTTACTACAGTCACAGTGGTCGAATGAGTGAAATATTTGAAATAAAGACCTTTAGAACAGATTACTTCTGGTTTTTCACATGTGTGTATAGACCCCTTTTGCCAAGAAAGTAGTTCAAGGTCATTTATTCAAGCTATTAAAGGAAAACATTTCTTTTTTTTTAGGCCAAGAATAGTTTTGGCCTGTGGTGTTATATCTTGCATTGCTTGCTAGCAAGTTTGTTTTAAAAACTGATTCCTCATATTTACTGTTACCGAGATTCTGTGAAAGATATATGTATTCACAAAATAAATAAAGTAGGCATACATATATGATATCACAAACCGAGGACACTATAAATTACTTTTATGCAGATTTCCAAGACTTGAATAGTCAATAAAATCTTTGAATAAATTAAATAATAAATACTATGTTAAATAAAAGACATAAAATGTTCCTAAACATATATATTCAAATCATGTATAAAATTACCTCCCTTCTGTATAAAGTAAAGAAAGTTGATCTCAATTAGTAATGAACATCAATTATTAAGCTGTATTGAAATAATACTTAAACTGATATAGACATCTATATATTTAGGTTTATGATCAGGTAATTGTATTTTGACACTTTTTGCATATGGTCCCACAAATAAAAATCTCTTTTTCTCATTTGAATAGCTGTAGCTCCTTTTGTTACATATTTATTATGCCAATACCCAATATTATGATGTTCATCTCCAAAAATCACTAGCTATATAGGTTGTGTATTCCCACTGCAGGTATGGTACATGTATAATAGGATGTCATCTGCATTAACTTATTACATGAGCACGATGGACGAAAGACATGATCAAATTGTTGTAAAACCACGTGCACTGGCCTGGTGATCTATATAGGTCTAGCGTTTGTTGACTCATCGCTTTAATATATCGGCCTGAATAATTATAAAAGCATGACTGTTATATTTTTTATGTGGACAAAGGTTTACCGTAAAGTCTACAGCTACACTGGATTATAATTATGTAATCATCAGCTTAATTTTCCTTCCATGGTCGGTCGGCTGGTCGCCACACTGTAAACACTCTTTTCTACTTTGTTTTTAGCTCACCTGCCCGAAAGGCAAGTGAGCTTATGTCATGGTCCGTCGTCCGTCAACTTTTCCTTTAAACAACTTCTTCTCAAGAACGGACAGGCCTAGAGTCATGATATTTGGCTGAAAGCTTCCTTGGTAGGAGCCTAACAAAGTTTGCGAATGAAAATGACCTTGACCCACTTTCAAGGTCACAGGGGTCAAATATGTCAAACTCTTTAAACGACTTCTTCTGAAAAACCAAATGGTATAGAATCTTTATATTTGGCTGGTGGCTTCCTAGGATAGAGCCCAACAGAGTTTGAGGATGAAAATGTCTTTGACATCCTTTCGAGGTCACAGCAGTCAAATATGTCAACACTTCAAACGACTTCTTCTGAAGAACTAAAAGGTATATAATCTTCAAAATTGGCTGGTGGCTTCCTTGGATAGAGCCTGACAGAGTTTGAGGATGAAAACTACCTTGACCTACTTTCAAGGTCACAGTGGTCAAATATGCCAAACTCTTTAAACGACTTCTGAAGAACTAAAAGGTGTAGAACCTTCATATTTGCCTTGTTGCTTTGTGAGATAGAGCCTGACAAAGTTTGAGAATGAAAATGACTTTGACCTTCTTCAAGGTCACAGGTGTCAAATATGTCAAAAACATTGAGCGACTTCTGAAAAATTGAAAGGCATAAAATTATAATATTTGAAGAAGAACAATGGCCAAAAAGCATAAAATCTTATAATAATAATTAGCTGGTAGTTTCAACAGATGGAGCCGACAAATTTTGCGAGTGACAAATTTGTAGTACAATATAATATTTAATGAGAATATTTGCTATGACTGCTTAAATATTCAGGTGAGCGATACAGGCCCTCTGGACCTCTTGTTTAAAGTACTGTTCATGAGTACCGGTAATACACAACATGTTTACAGTATAATAAGACACAGCAATTCTAAAATATCAAATTGCAGGTATACATGTGTTACATGCTATGACCTAGATAATATACGCATGTGTGCCTGTAGTTACTGTATATCTTAAGCTTGTTGGTTAGTGAAAAAGACAAGACAGATATTTTGTTTAAAGCCCAACAAATATTTGTAAACTTTAGGTATGATGATATTACACTGGATTTTCGAAAAAGTACCATAGATAATTAAGATAGAAATAAAAATAAAAAAATCACGATAATAGATATTTATGATATACTTTTAGCATTTATGGATTGACTGCAGAATGGTTTAAAAAGTTTAGATGTGAAATTTGTTTACCTTTGGCTTGAC